TTTGGCTTGCGTTCACATATTTCTTTCACATAATCGTAAAATGTGTTGTGAATATTCTGCTACATTTGCCTTTTCCTGGGGTCACTGTGACTTCCCCTCCGGGTTCCACCGGTAATGCCATCCCATTGGGGGAGCACAACAACATTGTTAAGGGACGCGGGGCCCGGTTCCTCGCTTGTATAATAAGAAAGTTCGTTTTGGATGATAATAATAATAATAATCAAGCTACTGTTTCCCAGAAAAAAAAATAAAAAACAAAACAAAAAGAGTTAGCCCAGTAGGTTCAGGTAGTGTTTATGATGTAATCTATAAGGATCGACTCTCTACCACCTCCCTGCTTTATTTTTTTGTATAATACAAAGATGGGTTAATTAAACTTAATTTGCAATAGACCCCCTTAAGTCGAGATATATGCCAAAATGCCCATAAAAAATATGTGGTTAGAGCGGAATGTCACTCCGACAAAAAAAATATTGTGTGAAATACCCCTAGCGTCGGTTGGCTCCCCATTTTTGCAATATACCCCTACCGGGTACCGTCCAACTTTGCAAAACACCCCAGTACTTTCCAACTTCTCCTAGGTACTATTGCAAAAGGCCAAGGACCAAACGGGGAGGTCCAGATTGCAAACTTGCACACCAGCCTGACAGGGGCACAACACAAAGGTTTCGACCCAAAAGGGCATTCCCCTCTCCCACATCTTTAAGGGGCATTTTGACATATATCTCAACTTATGAGGGTATTTTGCACATCATTATCCCTACAAAGATCAATCTTCTCGGAAACAAAAAAAAAGAAAACAAAGTGATATCCAGCGGCCTAGCTCGGTTGGTAAGGCACGCAAGTGGCATTCAACAGGTGTTGAGTTCAATCCCCATTCTCCTCATGTACCTTCCTGGGCAAGCTTGGCGCCCACCACCTAGAGATATGTCGTTGGTCCCCCCGAGTGGCATTGAGCAGAGACTGCTGATGTTCATAGGGGGAGAGGACCGAAGGGGAGGCACAGTGACTGGCCCATCAAAGAAGCTCGGTCCTGATGCTACCAGCAGACCCCTGGCCCGTATCGCCCACATTCTATAACAGGGGTATTACACCTGCTGGTGGGGGTGCAGCTCCTGCATGTTCCCTCGTTGGAAGCTTGAGGACGAATATGGCTGCTACGGGGTTCCCTGTAATAATACTATTGTCTACCGCGTGGGCGCGGGGAACGCAGCCCTAAGGTAGCCAAATCAATGAGACTAAGAGCTAACACAAGAGAGAGAGAGAGAGAGAGGAAAAAAAAAAAAGAGAGAGAGAGAGAGAGAGAGAG